GCCAGTCGCGGATAATATATTATAACTGCTCAGTCCATTTAGAAGAGTGGTCATGCATCCACGCGTCACAACGAAATCGTTGATTTGGAATTCCGTTCTCTTCCAGTAAATGTATACTGTTTGAAACAAAGAAAGGCTACGTTTCCAGTTAACGGACAATCTTGAGAACAAAGACACTATTTACAAGTACTGTTTGGAACTAACAAATTGAACTTTCCTGGTAAATGTTGGACAAAAACCGTTTGTTATTCAAGGTTCGTGGACTGTTATAACAATAGCGAAGTGCAGTTACCACCTTTCTAGCTGTCCTTTAAAGAGGAACCGATACTATAAATAAGAGTCAAGATGGCCACCGTAATAGTATGCTAATCCGAATCAAGCCGCTCACATCGTGGCGGGAGCTCCGTGAAATGTGCCATTTACGATGTTTGGGGATCAAGCTGTGATTCCAAATGCATATCTACGGGGGCATGAATATGTACGCTAGCAATTACACTCATCTGGTTGGGTTTTTGATGTAACGCCATAGACGTATACACCGGGGAATAACCTTCTATAATCTACTATAATCCGTATAATACTATATTCAGGAACTTCTAATTTTATTTTATGAACCGTCATATGTTTAGCTGCCACATAATTAAATAGCTGAAAATAATGGCCCAGTGTTGCATTTTTTTACCTACTGACTTGCGATGTACTGATTAAACCATTTGATTACGAGTGCTGCTGCATTTTGAAGATCGCTGAATTGTGAACTCCGAAAGCATGGCATACACAAAACTACGATGACGACATTTTTGAAATTCTTTGCCTTGAATAATGATTGAAAGAAGCTGAAGGAAATTATAAACTATGTAGTGCGTTAAACTCATGTATGAACAATAACTTTAATTTATACAATTATACAATTTTACTTGGTAAAAATATTGTATTTTTTGCATAAAAACGAAAGAATTTCACAATGTCGACAACGGAAAGTGTTACGGTTGCCATCTTAAGACACTGCACCCCCCTCACCGATGACTTTATGCGTAATTCCCCATAACTGTGTGACTCATGCGTTTTAATCACGGGAACATTTCTGTTTACAACTCTTCAACGGGAGATTTGTATTATAACATGTGTTTAGTGCTGAGCTCTTTTGTTGAGTACAACTACACAGCAAACATTTATATTGTTGTCTATGAGCAATCAGGTGATTGGCCAATGCATATGCAGTTCTTCCAATATCGTGATTTACTCTCAGTTAATTCGGGTTATGTGGACAAGGAATTTTTCAAGGGTATAGTGGAAAGGAATGTGGGAGAATTATGTCGAAAAAACACCCATGACTGTTTAATATTTCCAATTGCATACGTATCTATAAAACTGGCTCTATAAGCTAAAATACATTCTGAAAACATCAGTTAAGGGTTGTGGCAAGTTTAAAATTTGCGCATCACTTTACGAGTCACGTGAGTCACTCGACGTGTTGACAACCTTTGACATTCGTGCGTTATACTTCAATATGAACTAATTAATAAACACTTGCTATCGGGGATCAGGGAGAAGCTGTGGGTGGGCATGGATGTTAATGTCGCGACCGTGTTGGTATCCACGAGCGTTTCGTCTTTGCATAGGGAGAGAGCACGACATGCCAACATGCCTTTACGAGGAACACGTGAAAACTCGAAAGACAATTCACGTTATCACATTTGATATTAGATTAGAGTTCAAAACTAATAAAGGCGACTCCATCCATAGTTATCAAATCGTATATTATAAGTCATGCAAATTTTGTCTAAACAATCAAAATAAAGATCACAACTATTGCCGTTTCAACACTTATTCTTCCTCGTATGTATGAACCCCTGTCTTACTTGGATTAAAATAAAATATTTTCGCAAAACTGAAAATTGACTAATGTAATCTGAAATAATTAGAACGGTATACACACAAATAGAAAATTAATTGGTTGCCTTTAAAAGGCTAGGATTATGAACTGAAATTGTTTTTAAGTAGATAACTAATTAGTTTATATATCAAACAGATAAAAAACACATTTCAAAAGTGGATAGTCGTGCGATATTTACGCGACCTGAATTCAAATTCTTTCTTCCTCATTCAGATCCGCAACTTGTCCTGTGACCCCTGCTCGTAAACATGATGGTTCAGGGGCAGATTTTATATGGCCAGAAGGCATTTCATTTTGGTTAAATTCGACTAGCGCATAATAGCAGTCGAAAGAAATATTTAGCCTAACTCCGACTTCTGCTGAATAATGGTATCGCTCATTTGGTAACACCAACACTGACAGGGCGTTGTGACGAGTAAGTACGCTAAAATCAAGCGATTTCATTTGCTTTAGAAGAAAGCCTATTATATGTTGTTGTCTGGGGAATCCCCTTCGAAGCTTGAAGCTCTGCGCATGACCAGTATAAACACTTCGCGATTATCTCACAATGATAACACACTAAATTTGAAGCTAAATCATCTCAGATCGTTGCAAGTTCAAATTGTGTATGTTCCTT